AGGTCCACACTTTAAGATGTGGCCAAAGTGGAGCGAGTCCAGAGGAGAGGCACAAAATGATTAAAGGTTTCGAAAAACCCTGACCTATGAGGAGAGGTTAAAAAAAACTGAGCGTGTTTAGTCTTGAGAAAAGACGACTCAGGGAGACCCTGATAATTCTTCAGACATGTTAAGGGCTTTTATAAAGAGGACAAAGACCAATTGGTCTCCATATCCACTGACCATAGGACAAGTAGTAAGCAGCTTAAGCTGCAACAAGAGAGATTTAGGTTAGATGCTAACCGAGAAGCTGTATAACGATAAAGGAAAGTTAAACACTGGAACAGCTTCCTAAGGGAGGTTGTGGAATCCCCATCATTGGAGATTTTTCAAGAACAGGTTGGACAAACGTCGGTCAGCAGTGGTGGATTAATCACTGGGGCGACTGGCTGAGGCCCTGGCCAACTGGGGGGCCCTGGAAAAAAATCCGCCACCGGGTGGCAGAAGCCCAGAGCCCCAGCAGCTGGGGCTGGGGCAGGGGAAATGCTCGTGCCCTGACCCCCATCCCCATCAGAAATTGTGGGACGGGGGAGCCCCCCCCCCAGCTGTCCCCCAACTGTGGGATGGGGCAGAAGCCGTGGGATGGGGGAAGTCCCCCCCTCAGTGGCCCCTGACCCCGTCCCTGGCAGAAGCTGCAAGGTGGCAGGGAAAGCCCTGGGGTGAGCAGAAGCCCTGGGGTGAGGGGAAGCTCCCAACGGCCCTCAATCCTGCCAGTGGCTCGACCTCATTCCCAGCAGAAGCCGCGGGGTGGCAGGGGACGCCCCCATGCCCAACCCCATCCCCGGCAGAAGCACCAGGTAGGCAGAGCAGGAGAAGCCCCAGTACCTGGACCGCCGCTGTGGCCCTGGGACTGGAGAAGCTCTTTCTCCTCTGTGTAGTCCGGTCTTGGGGCTGCAAGGGGGTGGGGACAGAAAGGAGCAAACAGGTTGTGCAGGTGCAATGGGATGGGGGGGAGTGGGGGGACTCTGGGTGGAGCAGGAGCAGGTTCCTGGGGAAGAGGCATAAAGGGGTGGGGCTGTGGGCAGGGATGCAGGTGGAAGGGGTGGAGTGGGAGTGGGACCACAGGCAGAAGAGGTGGGGAGCGGGACCACAGGCAGAAGAGGTGGGGGACCACAGGCAGAAGAGATGGGGAGGGCTCCCCCCCACACTTGCTCTGGCCTAGGTCCCCTTAATCTGTCTCTGCCAGTCAGGGATGCCTAGGTTTACCTGGTCTTTCCTCAGAGCAGGGAGGTTGAAGTAGCGGCCCATTGGAGCTCCATTTCAGTCACACATTTCTATGATTCTATGATTGAGGGTGACATCCTGGCCCCTCTGAAGCCATGGATGTTTTTTCTATTGCCTTCAATGAGGCCAGGAGTTCGCCCTGAAACTGCTTTCCAACCGGGGACGAGACTGTGAGGGGCAGACCCTGAGCTGCTGGAAATCAGCAGAGCTGCACTGCCTCAAGGCCACTTCCACATTAATCCAGTTTAAACTATAACAGACACAAGGAAGGCCCTAGGCATTCTTCATAATTCACTGTTCCTTTGATAGGCTCCAAAGCTCAGTCATTTTGAAATCCAAGCATTTACACTGTGGTCATGCAGACATACTGCGTATTTGGGTGTTTGTTAGAACCAGCTTGAGTCAGTGGAACTGGTTAAGTATCAGCAAAAATTAACAGGACCATTCCGGTTCGAATGCGCCTGGCTCTCGCTGGTATGGAAGCAACACAAGAAAGGCCACCGAGCTTCTTTTACCAGTTCCAGGCACTGTCTTTAGGGCTGCAGGTTTCCCAGGAGTCTTATTTCAGTAATTAGTCAGGTGTTTCAAATGAATGGTTTCAGGACACTACCCAACTGAGTAAACAGTTTCATCCACAGAGTGTAATTATATATATATATATATATATATATAGTAGTAAGGATGTGAACAGGCAGTAAGGG